CACCACGAAAAACCTCCGGTGTTAGTGACGTGCTTTGATGTGCGAAGGTGGTGCGATCTCTGCAGTGCCAGACAAACCTTGATCCACGGGACGGCTACTTCAACGAGGTTGAGCCCGAACCTCGCCCTTGAAAGAGACGAAGGGATGTTCAATCTCTATTGGAAACATTACTTCAGACACTTCAGGTACACTTTTATGCCCGATTCTTTTCATTTATTTTGTCTTAGTAATTAATTTGCATAAACTGCTCAAAAGTTAATTACCGTGAGGGTCGCTGTTGGAAACTTTTTGAGAACGAACCTCATCGACTATCCTTGTCTCCTCCTCCGTCTTCAAGAAAAAGCGCGTCAAATCAAATTGAGGCACTTCATATAACGTAGCAAGAAACAGCATCATGCAGCATAAACCGACCAGTAAGTACACTGTAACAAGAAAAGATGATATCTGTAATCAAACAACAGATCAAAAAACTACGACTATTAAGATGACCTGAGACTGATAAAAAAAACAACTGCATTATAATGAAGAGCCGCGAAAAAGTGGTTGAAATTTTTTTCTCACTCTTTCTTCTTCCTTGTCAATTTCAGTAGGAAAACTAGTAAAAAGAAGATAGTGAACCAAGACATTCACAGAACTAAGATTTCGGGTCGAGCAGTTATTATGGCAAGAGCAAAAACCCATGAATCGCGAAATTGTTATTCCAGTTGCTTTACTTCCTCAAATTTTCTCTACGAGACTGCCTGTGATCCTGTCACATGGAAGCTCCCATTTCTCAATACAAGAATCAAATGGAGATGAACAAACCGGTCGCAATAACTTTGTAGACACCTCTGTACTCTTGATCGGGACTGTCACCTGGTTCGTAATCGCCTAAACAAAGTATTTTCAAAGATGAAACAGATTGAAAAACAAAATGAATGCATGAATGGCTGTGGTTGTGTCCAGGCTTAAAGTCCTTATAATGCGGAAGAATGCGAAAATGATGAAGAAAATAAACGAAAACTCGACCTAAGCCTATCGTCGTTAAAGAGACGAAGCAATAGTAGAACGCGTCAAGGTAGGTCCAATCTGGTTCAATATTTGTGAAAATCCATGCTGGTATGAGAAAAACGAAGACGAGAAGAAGCAGGCAAACGGTTGCCAGGTGAAACATCTAGAAAGATCATCATGGAGTAAAAGTATAAAGTGATCGTTGATGGAGAAACGAACACTACTACAAAAGACATGCGGATCGTAAAGGAAAGGAAGAAAGCAATCAAAACCGCTCTACAAATAACATTATACTGTCGAATCACAGTGGTGAAAACCAGAGTTAATAATCCTGAATTGCGCGATCTACAATACAGCGCTGAATCTAAGTTTGTGTTTGCATGAAGTGTATGTAACTCACAAGATTTGTTATTATCTGAACAA